CCATGGCAGGGGGGTTGGAACTCGATGATCTTCAAGGTCCTTTCCAACCTAAACCATTCTATGATTCTATGAGCCAGCAACATGCCCTTGTGGCATCTCAGGCTGCATTACAAAGAGGAGGTCAAGGGAGGTGATCCTTCCTCTCTACTCAGCACTGGTGAGGTACACCTGGATCTACTTCTGGGTTCTCCAGTCCAAGAAAGATACAGAGTTACTGGAGCAGGTCCAACGCAGAGCCACAAAGATGACTTAGGAGGTGAGGCTGAGAGAGCTGTGATTGTTCAGCATGTGGAAGGCTCGTGGGGGGTCAAAGCAACATATATAAATGTGGTATGAGCAAATAAAGATGATGGAGTCAGACTCTTCTCAGTGGTATCCAGTGAAAGGATAAGAAGCTATGGACACAAACTGAATACAAAAAACTCTGTTGAAACATAAAAAGAAGCTTTACTTGTAAGGATGACCGAACACTGGAACGGTGCTGCCCAGAACAGGTTGTGGAGCTGCCATCATTGGAGGTACTCAAAACCCAACTGGTTATAGACCTGAGCAACACACTGTAGTCAGCCTTGCTTTAAGTGGGGTGGAGGGGTAGAGGGGATGGGGTGAAGCTGGACTAGACAATCTCCAGAGGTTCCTTCCAACATTAACCATCCTATGATCCTATGACTGTGAATTATGGGATCATTAATTAAACACAGGCCTCATCATGAAGAGAAAATTCCTCCTGTATCTGCTTTTCATACAATGTTTAAAATATTCTTTATTAAAATGTTCATATTAAAAATAAAATTTGCTTGTTCTAAAGGGGCAAAACAGGTGTAAATCATATGTTCCTTTTACCAAGGACTCACTCAGACATTATGTTCTGAAGTCAAATGTATATGCAGAGTTGATCTAAGGAAATGCTAATTTTTTTTTTTTTATTATTCCTTTTTCCATTTGTGGGATTAAGAGGGAACAAAAAGGATGCATGACTGCAGAGGTGAAGAGTACAGCACAGAAACTGTGCTAATAAACATACCAGCTACTGCAATTGCTGCTGACTATATATGCTAACTGTTAGGGTGCAGAGACAGTAAAGACTTTACAGCATTAACTCTTTTTAATTGTCCACTCCTTTTTCTTCACTACTTTCAATTATTCTGGTCCTCTGTGACTGCCCTCTACACCTGTCTCAAAATATTTTTGTTGGCATTAGCTTATTTCTGAAGTGTTTATTCTTAAAACAACAAAACATTTGCTGAGCTAATAGCTGCCAGGAAGCATATTAATGTCACCTTTAGTAGTCTATCCCTTCTTAGCAAAAGTTTACCTGTTCTCCATTTGGCTATTCCTGGCCTCCTCCATCAAATACTGTTCTACTGGTTTTACAGGAGCAGCAAGACCTGGGCAGCTACACCTGCCCTTAGATAACACTTCAATTGGCACATGCTCTGTGAAGATTAGGAATCAGAAAGGCATATGCCAGGGGAAGGTACAAGGATTGCGTGCCAGTATTATCATGAGGAATGTTCTAGGAGTTCCAGGGAAGCATGCAGAGGTTGACAACCCTCCATGAGCTGGGCAACACAAAAGCAAAAGTCAGTACCAACTAGACAACTCCATCTGTGCTTCCAACCTGAAGAACTTGTTAACCATTTCCAGCCATACCAGTCTAACAAAAAACACTGCCTATCCTATAACATATAAGCGGCACCAGGGGAGGTTTAGACTGGACTTAAGGAAGTATTTCTTTACTGACAGGGTGGTCAAACACTGGAACAGGCTTCCTAGAGAGGCGGTGAATGCCCCCAGTGATAACTGGCATTTGGACCATGTCCTCAGCAGTTGGACCAGATGATCATTATAGATCCCTTCCAACTGAAATATTCTATTCTATTCTAGAAGAATAATGAATTGTACATTAGAGATGGAAGTCGCACTTTTCTTTGCCAACCAAAAATTGGCTTTCCTTGAGCACCAGAAAGACAAAGAAGGGAACTCTAGAGGAGAAACGTATCTGGAGAATGCATTTGTACATCAGAAAGATCTCCTTAATCAAGCCCTTTTCTCTCAAAGAGAGTTAAACATGAAATGAAACATTAAAAGGACAAATCTTAATCAGACCAACAAGAATCAGAACTAGAAGATAGTATTTACAGACACCCACACTATACTTATGTTGATTTACTGATGATAATTGTTCTAAATCATTTAAAAAATAAATCCCAAACACCATGTTAAACTGGAAAGGTTCACTTCCTACTCTTCCTAGCATATGAAATAATTAATACTGCTGCCCTCCCCAGCTTATAGATCAAATGATATATCAAACAAAAGAGGTTGGAAGTAAATTGCCCAAAGTCAACGAGGAATTAGTTTTAACAGCAATAATTAAAAATCAAGATGTCCTACCGCCACTCTCTCACTTCTATCAGTAGACAACAGTTTATCCTTTCAACAGCTATCACAGGAAAACAGAAATTGAATGCATTTGAACAAGGTGTTTCCTACTAGATTGTACAAAATAAGGAAAAGACACTTTTGACAAGTGACATTTTCTACAGAGGAAGCTAACATTTTGATAGAAAATATTAACTCATTTCCTTTTAACATGTGGCTAAAACGATAGTGCCTCTCTAGCTGAAAAGCTGGAGAGCTTCTGCAGCTAGCACAGATCAACATTTCTTGGTTTATTGTCTGAAACTCAATATTCCTCCAAAAAAAAGTAGCCCTGAAAATCTATTTCTTTCTATAACCCTTACGACTCCCTAGAGAATGAAAATCCAGAAAGAGCTAGTTCAAATAGTTTAGAACAGTCTTGGCCTTGATCTTTTAAAAGGATGGGGTTTTCCCCCCAGATGAAACTTTTTTTTCTTCCTGGTTTTTAATGTTGTTATATGCTATTCCTTTTGGCTTTACCAAGGCACCAGGCAGGTACCAAAGTGAAGCTAAATCCTGTGAGAATGAACTTTAGCTCTGTCTAAAAACACAAGTAGAAACATTTATTTATAAACAAAAATGGAATTAAAATCACTAGTGATTTGAACTATATTTAACAGACCATTAACATGCAGTTACTGCATTTACTGTTTTGCCATTGAAATGAATTGTACAAACAAACAACATACTAAGAGAAAATGTTTGTCGCTTCCTAGGCACATCTTTCCTCCCTTCACTGGTTGCCCAAAATTGAAATAAAAGCTAACACTAAGTAGCACGGTGCTGACCTCTGTAAAAAGGTGCCAATGAATGAAAGTGCTTCAGTTCCAGTTGCTACATAGATTCATGCAATTGGCATATATAATCACGGTGATTATAGCATAAATCAAAAATAAGATGGAAAATACTTGCGAAGTGGCTAAAAGACAAAGTCTGTATTGAAGAAATTAGTTGTATGTTTGTTTGCTTTAGGACAAACTATGTACATTACAGAAATATCATGGTACTCACTTCTATTTTAAATCAATTTCAATATTAAGAAGCTCATGCTCTTCAGTGTTCTCTTTCATGTACTTCATATAATTTCAACAATTTTTTTAGTTGCTCATTTTTGTGTGTGTACCGAGCCTTTCCTCCAACTATCCTTGCTAACAAAACATAACCTCAGATACAGTTGTTTGGATTGTATTCTTAAAAAGAGGGAAGAACTGGCATCTTTCCTGACCTTGCACAGCCGAAATTTGAAGAGGGCATTAAAAAACCACCAACCAAACCCACAAGCAAAGAACAGCCTGCCCCCCAACCCTCATACTAACATAGCTCCTCTATTCTGGAAAGCTTGTGGGTTTTGGGAATGTTTACTGAATATATAGCCTAGTATTCCATTTACTGATCTCAGAAGTATCTTACAGAACAGATCAAGATCATAACACCATATCTGCTTGCAAAAAGCTAAAAAGGTTCTAACGTTCAAAAAGCTCATGGCAAATAATTTATTTATTCCATTTGACTGCCCTCATACAGCTCTTCTACTGAAGACATTATTTTCCCTCTCTCGTCCTCATGCCACTTAATTATTCTATGTTAATTCGGGAGATTTAAGTCATAATTCTTTGAAAGTCAGTTTCCCCATTATATCATCTATATTTTTCTATTTAAATTGAATGGGCATTTCAGCTTGGTTCCACGTCGCTTCTACTCAATCTTTTCATTAACTTCAATGATAACACACAATAGCTGCAAAAATCTGCAGTTAGAAGCAATCATAAGTATTTTTTAGGATTTAATTCAAAATTAATTGTAGCAATAAGTGCTCCCAAAGGAATAACATGAAATCACTAAGACAAACAAAATACATTGTAACTTTTAGAATAAATGAAGCACAGCTATACCAAATAGGGATTAACCAATCATGCTGTTCTGATGAAAAGCATCTCATAAAGAGATAACAAACAGAAAATTGACCGCAAGTCCAAGTGTTTTTTTTTTTTTCTCCTGAGATATAATACAGCAAGTGTTACAGGCACAAGAGAATTCATTATGTCCTACCAGACACTAATCAATTACAGCTGAGTACTTTTGTTTTGTGCACAATATTCACAAAACAAGATGTACACAAACAAGAGAACATAGATTACAGTGAGGTAGGAATTTTAGTGCTGTCTCTTCCTCTCTACAAGCAGTTAGTTATTCAGCCTAGAAAAGCTTGCCATATAAACAACAAAACAGGCTGCCTAGAGATGTTGTGGAATCTCCATCCTTCTAGAGAAGAATATAAGCAAGTCTCGGGTTAAGGACAGGTAAAAAATAGACAGTACCTAGGATTAAGGGAATTTAATTTTCTTTATTTTTGTCTCTTTTTTTTTTTTGGTAAATTTTAAATACAAGCAGTTTCACAAGTCCTAGAGGGAAAAAAAAAAAAAAACACCACACTGATCCTGTGAAAAGGAAACTGGCCATTATCTTTACATAGTTGGTGCTTCTACCATAAGAACAAAAAGAGATGGTGTAAAGATACATTACAAGACCACATTTAAGTGTTAGTATCTCACTTCATATTGATAAATAATCTTCTACAAATTAACACAAACCACTGTAAAAACTATCATGGCCACATAAAATCAAAACATGTACTGCAAATTCTTATTATTGCACACTAATTTCCACACACAAAGAAGAATGTTGATCTCGTTTTATTAATAATTACATTTACTCCCAAAATGAAGATGCAGCAATGGAGAGGAAACTCTAGATGACAGAGTAGCTACACGGCACTATCTAAAAACTACATACAACATACCATTATGAGTTCATTAACTTGCAAGAAAAAGG